AGAAGCATCAATTTCCATCATTTCTTTTCGATCTAGGCCAAATCATCTGCTTTTTACACCTTAGTAAAATCAAATAAGACTACATATGTAGAGTTACTTGAACTATCAAAGAAACTCATCGATTATGCTATTAAGATCAATTTGAAACAAGATTTATTGAATACATTTAAGATATTAATTCACAATGCTCAGAATGGTAATCAAGAAAAAAAAATTTACTTATCTAATACTTTTAATCAAGAAGAAAAAAATTACTTATCTAATATTTTCAATTCTGCTATTATTAAACATAAAAGTCATCCTCCAAAAAGACTTAAAGCTAGTATTAAAAACAACATATATAAGGATAAGTGAGTCTTAAAAGATAATGTAAATACTAGTGTAATAGGAAATGCTGAGAATGTAGCAAATACAAATGGGCAGAAACATTAGATAAGCAAATTTCTTTCTCTTGGTTACTGTTTTGAGCATCGTGAATTAATGTCTTAAATGCATTCGATAGTTCATGCTCCAAATTGGTTTTTATCGCATAATTGATAAGTTTCTTTGATAATCCATGTAACTCTGCATATATAGCTTTATTTGATTTTACTGAAGTATGGGAACTAGATGAATTGTTTCGAATCAAAAAAAAATGCTAGAAATTAACGCTTCTCTCAAACACCATAGTATTACTTAATCTTGTGCCACATACTGGAATAGGTGGATATTGTTGCATAAGATCGTTTAGCTCAATATTAGGATTTGAATACCATCGATTTGGAATTATGCTTATGTGAAACATAGCATGTTGAGAATAAGTTCCAACCCGGAAAAAGTGTTGACATATCAATCCCTTATTAACTAACAAAAGGCAGGTATATAAATGCGAGCCTTCATTAAGCAATACTATATAATGATCTATTCCTTGAGTCCCAGTAGCACATACATCCCATACTTCTATAATTGTTACTTGAGGTACAGTTCTAATCAATGAACTAAAAAGAATCTGTCACAAATCTTGCTCTTGCTCTCTGATACCAACACTAATTTCATCATTATAAACTTCTGCCTATAAATTGTAAGACATTAGTTTATTATAAAATCTGTAGGATATAAATATTATAGAATTAAAAT